ATCTGCATACAGAACATTCTACCCAACAGCAGGAAAAAGCATATTCTTGTAAGTCAGGTGCTGGTGGCTCATGCCTACAATAGATCCTAGCTTCTCAGGAGGCTGAGAGCTGAGGATCATAGTTCAAAGCCAGCCTGGGCAGGCAAATACATAAGACTCTTATCTCCATCGAATCACCAGAAAACCAGAAGTGGAGATATGCCTCAAAGTTGTAGAGCACTAGGCTTGAGAGGAAAAAGCTTAGGGATAGCCCCAATGCCTTGAGTTCAATCTCACGACCAAAACAAAACCCAATGACAAAAACAAAACAAAAAAAACACATTCTTCTTAAGCACACATAGTACATTCTGCAGTGTGGACTATATTTTACGCCAAACCAAATCTTAACAAGGTAAAGAGGAATGAAATGATATCTGACACTAACATGAAACTAGAAATCAATCACAGGCGAGGTACTGGTAGCTCATAACTGTAATCCTAGCTACTCAGGAGTCTGAGAGCTGAGGATCTCGATTCAAAGGCACCTGAGGCAGAAGAGCTCATGAGATTCTTTCTCTAAGAAGTTGTAAGTGGAGCTGTTTCTAAGAAGTTGTAAGTAGAGGGCTGGGAAGGTGGCTCAGTGGTAGAGCGCTTGCCTTGTATGCCTGAGGCCCTGGGTTCGATTCCTCAGCACCACATAAGCAAAAAGAAAAAAAAAAGCCAGAAGTGGCGCTGTGGCTCAAGTGGTAGAGCTCTAGCCTTGAGCTGAAGTGCTGAGGGACAGCGCCCAGGCCCAGAGTTCAGGCCCCACGACTGGGCCCCCATCCAAAAAAAAAGTTGTAAGTGGAGCTGTGGCTCAAATGGTAGAGTGCTAGCCTTGAGCATAAAAGCTCATAGATAGTGCGTAAGCCCTGGGTTCAAGCCTCAGGATCAGCACAAATAAATAAGTAATAAATAAATAACACATTTTGAAAAATACATACTACATGGAAATTAATCATTTCAATTGGCTGCAGGAAAAAAAAATGTTAAAAGAAAGATTTTTTTTTTATCTCATAACTGAGAGCCAGTGGCTCATACCTGTAATTCCATAAGAATCCATGAGACTCATCTCCCACAAATCACCAGAAAACCAGAAGTGGTGCTATGGCTCAAAGAGGCATTTATTTCTGCTGAGACTAGATGATCTTTTGGGTGGAAGCCAGCCCAGTAAACAAAGTGCCCAACATTCCATCTCTAATAAACCAGCAAAAGCAGGGTTGGAAGCATGGGTCCAAGTGATGGAGGGCCCACTGTGAGCAAGAAAGCTGAGCAAGCATGAGGCCCTGAGTCTGAGCCCTGGTAGCAGCCAAATACAAAACACTTCATTTGCCATAGGACTTGGGTACACAGAGATCAAATCCCTTGCCTACATGACCTGTATTATTTGATACTTGGCCTTAACTCGGTCATCTGTCTTTTGCTAGTCTTCTATTTTTTGAGTCATCTAACCTTCCACCACCCATAGCTTTCCTTATGATCTCCCCTTCTATTTGCAAAGTCTTTTTTTTTTGTTTCCATTTCTACTCTCCATATCCTTTCACTCTCCAAATCACCCTCTTAGTAGAGATTTCATTGACTCTTCAGCACTGACTGATGACCACTGCAATTTTACACTAATTTGTGATTGTTTGGATTAACGTCAGTTCCTCCTACCTGACAAGAAGCTCACTGTACCTTTATTTAGGATCAAGACAAACTATGGTAACACAGGTGTTCAATAAGTATGTGTTGAATCAGTCACCAAATACAGAGGGAGTGTGAATTCCAGGGAAGCCTAGCTACAAAACCAAAGCAAACCAACAAAAATAAATGAATGAACATAAAAAATAGGACTGAGACAATTGGAGTTTACTAACCTCACTGTATCCTTAGAAAGTACAGTTGAAATATACTGATGTGGTTGAATTCTGGATACAAGAGTTTAAAGAGAAACTGAGCAAGGTTGAGTAAATATCATTTAAAAATGAAAATAAAAGATGGGTGCCCATGGCTCAAGCCTGTAATCTTAGCTACTCAGGAAGCTGAATTCTGAGGATCGAAGTTCAAAGCCAGCCTGGGCAGGAAAGTCTGTGAGACTCTTATCTCCAATAAACCAGAAAACTGGAAGTGGCTCTGTGGCTCAAGTGGTAGAGCACTAGTCTTGAGCTGAAGAGCTGAGGGACAGTGCCCAGGCCCAGAGTTCAAACCCCACAAAAAATAAAATAAAATAAAATAGAGAGGCTGGAAAACAAAGCAGCCAGAAGAGGGTGGCAGTGTCAAGGGTAAGTTGTCTATATTTGTTTTTTTTGTTCTTTTTTTTGCTTTTTTTGGTTTTGTTTTTTATTATCCTTTACCATTTTAGTATTTTTTTCTTATCCCAAATAGGGAAGAAGTGGAAATATTAGAGATTTGATGTAGTTAGACAAGAGAAAACTAAAGCTGAAGGAATTTCAAAATGCCAACAAAGGGATGAGGTAAGCAAACATATCACAAAGGAGGGGCTAACAGAAACATAACCATATAACTAGGTGAAAGCACTATCTGAACCCATAAAGATGCTGATGGATTAATAACTCAACGACCCCTATTTCAAGAAGGCAATTGGAAGAGAGCTGGGCTAGAATTAGAAGGTAAGGAGGCTATGTTAAACCACACTACGATATAGTCAATGAAATCAAACAATGGTTCTTTCAACAAATAAATTATACTAGTTAAAAATGGAGGAATTTATAAAAGGAACTGGAAAAACTTACCAGTAAACACAATGGGAGAATTTGGATCCTGGTTCAAGAAAGTAAAGGAAGGGGTAGGGAGGAGAAGGGAAGGGAGGGAAATAGAAAATAGAACACGTAACTTCACTGGTATCAAGAAACCATGTTACGTTAGATATAATTACAATATTATGGCTATGCTTTTTCTTTCTTTTTTTCTTTTTTTTTGTCAGTCATGGGGCTTGAACTCTGGGCCTGGGTGCTATCCCCAGCTCTTTAGCTCAAGGCAAGTGCTCTACCACTTGAGCCACAGCACCACTTCTGGTTTTCTGTTGATTAATTGGAGATGAGCGTCTCACAGACTTTCCTGCCCAGGCGAGCTTTGAACTGCAATCCTCAGATCTCAGCCTCCTGAGTAGCTAGGATTACAGGCATGAGCCAATGGCACCCAGCCTTAAGGCTGTGCTTTTTCCAGGCATGATGGAGTATGGCCTATGCCTTTAATTCCAGCACTGAAGTAGGAGGATCTTATGTTTGAGGTTGGCCTGGGCTACATATTGAAAGCTCATTTCAGAAAACTAAAAAATAATTTTTAACAGATTTTCCTGAAATATTTATAATCATCAGATACATGATATTAGCTTCAAAATATTACAGGAGGTGAGAATAATGATATAAAGACAATAAGACTGGTCATGAGTTAATTACTGGAGCTGAATATTGAGTTGAATCTGCTTTATTATATATAATTCCTTTTTAATGTTGAAATCTTTGCAAACATAGTATTTTCATCCTTATACTTATATGTTAAGTAAACTCAGTTAAAGTTTCTTGACCTGAGTCCATGGATTTCAGAAAACTACGGGGATCTGATCTACACAAATTTAAGTGATCCATCAAAAAATAATAAAGCAGGGTTGAGTAGATACTATTTAAAACGTGAAATATGGGCTGCTAGCTATTTAGCAAGCCATACAGAGGAGGATCACAGCCGGATATCAACGCAGGAAACAAACAAAATGGAGTGGCTCAATTGGTAGAGTTGCCTGTCTTAGCAAACAGGAGGCTTTGAGTTCAAGCCCTAATCCAACCAAAGAGAAAAAAAAAAATGTGATACAACTTTCCAGGTGGTATTAAAGATTTTCAAAGATAAAAATGCATGCATGCATGCGTGTGTGTGTGTGTGTGTGTGTGTGTGTACGAACAATACTGGATGTCCAAAGCAGTAAGAAAATGAATCTATGTACTCTTCTGTTTCTAAGACGCATTGATTGCAGATTCAACACCAAAGAAAGTGTCGTGCAGGCATGGCAAAATCCTGGACATGCGATATTTGTTCCTGAGGAAGGAAAAGAATAGGTGCACTCAAGTGGTGCTACATTGCAAGTCTAGCAGTAGTCATTCAAATCTCCATGCACCAACATTTGCCATCTTTTGCATTTCTTTCCTTCTATTTTCTTCCCCAGTCAAATCCCAAGCGCCTTAGAGATACCATGAGATTACCCCTCCCACTCAATTCTGGGTTTAAGGAATAAATTGAAATCATGACATCTTGTTGGTATGACCCTCAGAACTACAAAAATAGTTTCGGATTCGATGCATGGCAACGAGTGGAATGTTGAACTTTAGGGACCTATTTTTGCTTTTCTACATCTTGTCCTCAGAAGCTCCCGAGGCGCTAGGCGCTGCCGTTGGGGCTGGTTTTAAGGTATATTATTAAAACAGCAATGGTCACGCCTGGCAGAGGCCGCTCAAGCCTGTGATTCTAAACCACCCCAGAGGTTGAGGGCTAGAGGACTGTGATTCCAAGCCAATCGGGACAGGAAAGATGTGGTGAGACACTTATCTCCAATTAACCCGCAAAAAAGCCAAGAAGTGAAGCTGTGATTCACGTGGGGGCGCACCCAGTAGAACAAAAAAGCTAAAGGCCAGCATTTAAACCTTGAGTTCAAGCTCCAGTACTGGCACAAACACAAGTAAAATGTATTAACCAGGAATCTCCGAGTCACTCCACTTCCAAAACCTAACCACACCTCCAGATTTAACACCAACGGCGACAGTTTACACGCGCAGGCCAGGCAGGTTTGGACAGCTCCAAGTAGGCGCCTTCAATCCCGGGCTTCCGGGTACCTGTGGGAGGTGGGGCCGAAAGAAAATGTGAACCAATTATAATGCAGGTATGGAAGACGTTTGCTCTAGAGACCAATCAGAGGGCCGTGGGGCGGGGCCGAGGGCGCGGGTTCGCTCGCGGGGTTTAAACCCGAGTCGTTAACGGCAGTGTCTTCTGCGCCTGCGCGGCCGGAGGACGCTAACGGAAGCCCACGGCGCTCGGCGAGCCGGGTGGGCTCTAGGACTCGGCGCGGCGAGCGGAGTGCGGGGACGCGGGTGAGCGGGGCGGACGCGGGGAGCGGCGGGGTTGGGGGTTGCGCAGGTCCGGGTTGGGTGGTACAGGACGAGTGTGCTGGGGGCGGTGAGGGAAGGGCCTGTCCTGGTCCCCCGGGGCTTCACGCACCCGCAGCCGCGGAGCCCGGGGTGGGTTTGCTGAACGCCGTGCGGTGCTCGCTGCGGGGCGCGGGGTGTCCGCAGGCGCTCGAGGTCCCACGTCGTGCGGGCTGCCGGGGGGAGGCCGGGGACCGTCCCTAGAGAGGGATGCGGGCGGAGGGGGGGAGGGGGAAGGCCGGGGACCGTCCCTAGGGAGGGATGCGGGCGGAGGGGGGGGAGGGGGAAGGCCGGGGACCGTCCCTAGGGAGGGATGGAGGCGGGGGGGGGGGGGGGAGGCCGGGGACCGTCCCTAGAGAGGGATGCGGGCGGGGGGGGGGCGGGGAGGCCGGGGACCGTCCCTAGGGAGGGATGCGGGCGGGGGGGCGGGGAGGCCGGGGACCGTCCCTAGGGAGGGATGCGGGCGGGGGGGGGGAGGGGGAAGGCCGGGGACCGTCCCTAGGGAGGGATCGGGCGGAGGGGGGGAGGGGGAAGGCCGGGGACCGTCCCTAGGGAGGGATGGAGGCGGGGGGGGGGGGGGGGGGAGGCCGGGGACCGTCCCTAGGGAGGGATGCGGGCGGGGGGGGGGGGGTGGCCGGGGACCGTCCCTAGGGAGGGATGGAGCCCCCCGGTGGGCTTGTTGTTGTTCAAAACAAACAAACAAACAAGCCTTCTCACTTCCTAACAGACTGTGTCTCTGCGGAGTGAGCTAAGGTTGTAGGGCCGAGTGCAGCCCTACCCTAAACGGAACCTTAAGTCCTTTATTTAAAAACAACAACAAAACCCGCACACTGGCTGGGAAGGTGGCTCAGTGGTAGAGTGTGTGTCTAGACTGCTTGAAGCCCTGGGTTCGATTCCTCAGTACCACATACACAGAAAAAGGCAGGAAGTGGTGCTTGTGGCTCAAGTGGTAGAAGTGTTGGGCTTGAGCAAAAAGCAGCTCGGGGACAGTGCCCAAGGCCCTGAGTTCAAGCCCCAGGTCTGGCAAACAACAACAAAAATCACACAAGCCAATTAATAATGCATATGTCATTCTAGCTGAGACGGAGAGGATCCTACTTCCAAGGCAGCCTGGGTAGTTCACGAGACCTTTCTCAGTAGAAAATACAGGGAGTTAGTGGCATGTGCCTGTGAGTCGAGCTATAGTGGAAAGCAAAAAATAGGAGGGCCCTGGCCCAGGCTTGATTCTAGTTAAGAAGCAAGATCCTATCTTAAATGTGGCCAATACTGCCAAGCATTGGTGGTCCATACCTGTAATCCTAGCTACTCAGGAAGGCCAAGACCTAGTGGATTGAGGTTAAAAACCAGCCTGAACAGGAAAGTCTTAAAGGCACCATCTCCCAATTAACATGTAAAAAGCAGGGCTGGAGGCATGGTTCAAGTGGTTGAGTACTAGCCAAATACATTGTGCCTCATTCCATCAGTAATATACAAAGAATATGTTTCTACATCAAATGTAGAAGTATTTTTTTTTTTGGTCCAGTCGTGTTGCCTGAACTCTGGGCCTGGGCGCTGTCCCTCAGCTCTTCAGCTCAAGGCTAGCACTCTACCACTTGAGCCACAGCGCCACTTCCGGCTTTTTTCTTATGTGATGCTGAGGAATCGAGCCCAGGGCCTCAGGCATGCAAGGTAGGCGCTCTACCACTGAGCCACCTTCCCAGCCCCTAGAAGTATTTTTTTTTAACCTGTCAGGATAGAGGATTAGAATCAGAGCCTCCCACTTAGGGAAGTACTCTGCAGCAAGAGTGCTCAACTACTTGAGCTTGCAGTCCTTTCAATTTTAGGTTTTGGGTTTTTTTTTCTTTTTTTGGGGGGGGGGGAGTCCGGTCGTGGGGCCTGAACTCTGGGCCTGGGCACTATCCCTCAGCTCTTCAGCTCAAGGCTAGCGCTCTTACCACTTGAGTCACAGCGCCACTTCTGGCTTTTTTCTTTTTGCTTATGTGGTGCTGAGGAATCGAACCCAGGACCTCAGGCATGCAAGGCAAGCGCTCTACCACTGAGCCAACTTCCCAGCCCCTTGGGTTTTTTTTCTTTAGGTAAGATCTTGAGCTTTTGCCCCAAAATTTGATCCTCCTTATGTCCACCTCCTTAGTAGCTAGACTAGTATTTTTAATGAATGTATGGTATTTGGGTTTGAATACAGTGCCTCAAGCTTGCTAGTCTGGCACTACCACTGAGCCACTTGGTTTGTTTGTTTGGTTTGGTTTTTTTCCCCTGATTATTTTTAAGATAGTGTCTCGTTTCCTTCCTGGGCAGCCTAGACCGAGCCTACATTGGGCTTCCCATAGTTGCTGGGATCACAGGGATGCACAACCTGGTCCAGCTTCCCTCTGCTGAAATGGGAGTTTCACAGACTTTTCTGCCCAGGCAGGCCTGGAACCATGACCCTCCTACTCTCAGCCTTCCACATAATTTAGGATAACAAGTGCGTACCATTGTGTTGAGCTATAGTTTTGAGAAAGGGGTTGCACTTTTCTGTCCAGGCTGACCTCAAACCATGATTCTCCTATGCTCAGCCTCACAAGTAGCTAGAATTACATGTGTGAGCCACCACTCAGCTTAATGCTTGATTCTTTAAGCTGCCCACTTCTATGTGGTAGAGGAATCTAACTGCAGTAACCTCTCTGTAATTCTGCTGTATCTACACTGAAAAATACCTTCCATTCCACTCTTGAAATCCTTCCACTTGTACATAACTAAACCTAGGACACTGCATCACTTAAGTTTTTTGGGGGGACACTGCATCACTTAAATACTCCCTCTGTAACAAGTAATTTCGTAAAGATACATTTGGGGCTTTTCATTTGCTCCATCTATGCTGAGTGCCCTGATTATTTTTCTGGTAACTGTCAATAATAAGATTGGAAAGCCAGTTTAATCACTAACCCAGTGACCCACGCCTGTAATCCTAGATACTCAGGAGGTTGAGACCTGGAGGGTAGTGGTCCAAACACCTCCCGTTCATTAAGTGGTAGAGCACCAGCCGAGCAAGCAAGCCAAGTTAAAGAGTGCAAGGCCCAGAGTTCAACCCTGGTATACAGGAAGGAAGAAAGGGAAGGAAGAAGGGAGAGGTAGTTTAAATGCTTACTTTTTCAGGACTTGATAGCATTTGAAATAATTTTACTTGAAGATCTCCCTAGGATCCTCTCTTTTGCCTCTTCGATGAAATCTGTTAACATAGCTTTTAGTGCTTTTGTTCTATGTGTCATTGTTTTAGAATTGACTTTTGGGAGGAGGGGGGTTTAAATCAAGAGCCTTACACTTAGTAGTTAGGCATTCTACCACTCTAGCTATGCTTCCATGCTTCCAGCCCACAGATTTCTTTTTTTTTTTTTTTGATTTTGAAAATACAGAGGGGTTACAATTACATGGGCAAGATAATGAGTACATTTCTTATCAAGCATTGTGTAGCCTCCTCCTTTGTTTCCCCTTCCCATCCCTTCCCATCCTCCCCCCGCCCCCCCCCCCCCACCTAAACCTCCCCCTGCAAGGTTCTTTTTTCTTTTCTATTTTTTTGGGTCAGCCCCATGAGAAAAGATTTCTTAAACTCTATTTTTCTTTTCTAGGTTTACTTCTTACTCAAAACCAAAACAAAACAAAATTAATGCCAATCAAGGCACATTGAAATAAGAAATTGAGAAAGTAACTTTGGTCAGGTGCAGTGACTCATGCCTGTAATCCATTAGTCCAGCTGAGCAACCTGGTTTTGAGGCCAGCCCAAACCAAAAGCTAGTAAGATGATCTATCAACAAATGAGCCAAGCATGGGGTTTCATACCTATAATCTCAGCGATGTGAGAGGCCTAACTGAAAGGTAAACTAAAGCAAAAAGGGGTGGAGATGTGGCTCAGGTGTAGAGCTCTTGCCTAGGAAGAAAGCAAGGCCCCAAGTTTAAACTGGCTGGGCCAAAAAAAGTGGTTTGTTTTTACATGTTTAAGGATATTCTGCCATATTCAGTGATGACACGACACTAAAAACAAGATTTTAAAAATTCAGGGACAAATCTTAAATTGTTTAAGATCACTATTCCCCATCTCTAAAATGGGGATACTTTCTAGTTTCCTCTCTGCTGGGATGTAAAAGCCATTGTACTGCACCTCCTCTTCAGCGATGGGCACATAACTCTTAATTTTCCTAAAACTGGAACTCTTAGTGAAGCCTTACTTGTGCAGTCCATCTGCTGAGCTTCTGTTGGGCTTAGCATCAGTTTACTAGGTTGGGTGTTGTTTGTGTTGTCCTATATGCTTTTTAACTAGCACCATGAGCTGAGAATCCATTGTACATCTGGAGTCTTGAACATAGGTGGGAATAAATGTAATTATTTCTTGGTTGGTAAACAAGAGCCTTATCATCATAAAGTTGGGTAACACTAGTATAATGGCAATTTTTATCATTTTTGTTTTGATTCAGGAATGTATTAAGAACTTTAAACACTTCTGAATATTGACATTTATAAATAAATTTTAAGGGGTGACTTTGCTTTGAGACAAACAAAATCCATTCTTTCTTCCACTTAACTGGGTCTCACTTGTGCAGAATTCCAGCTTGTATATACCTTTTTTTGTTGTGCCAGTCCTAGGGCTTGCACTCAGGGCCTGGGCATTATCCCTAAGCTTTACTCAAGGTTAGCAATCTTATCTCTTGGGCCATAGCTCCACTAACAGTTTTTTAGTGGTTAACTTGTAGTCTAGTGGACTAGTGCATGGGGCTGTCTTTAAACCATGATACTCAGATCTCAGCCTCCTGAGTACCTAGGGATTACAGGAATCCAGCTGGACTTTTTTTTAAGACAGACAGTCCAGGAGTTGGCAAACACTGGCTCGTGAGCCAACCTATAACAATTGTATTTCGGAAACATTTACATACACACCTCTGCACTTAAGACTTACACACCCTGTACCTACACCTATCAATTAGGTACATGCACACCTAGCACTAAACAGTTTATCTGATTGTTAACTGACAGAATTTGATATTTTAAAATTCTCTTAGAAACAGACACTCCAAAGCTCTTCATGAGGACTCAAGATGAGTAGTGATTATTTCATTGCCAGGGAAAGGAATAACACCACAAACATGATACTTGCCACAGGTTTTAATGAATTTGAACATAAGGCACACATATAAATAATGAATTTGAACATAAGTGCCCACATATAAATAATTTGCGATGACTTTTTTCTTCCATCTCTTAATACTTTTGGACTGTGATAATACAATGTTTTAAGTCTTGTCATGTCAGAATTTCCTTTATCAGGCCTTACTTTTACTTTAAAAAGTGATCAGAATCCCTAAGACTTCTTGCAATGAAACTTTTTGTATGTACTTTCTATCTGCATACATGATTAACTTATGTTTTTAATTTCTGCATCAACACAGACTCTCTTTGTTGGTTTCTCCAAAATAGTACTCTCTTCCTCTAGTGTGTCATTACAGTCTCTTCTGACTTTTGTTTCATCCTTATGGAGTAAATGTGGGTACTCAATGCGTCCTCTACGTACAAAATGCTGGATCCGGGATTCCAATCCTTGGCATTTAGGACGATCCATGAGGGGCCTGTACGTGCGCATTTTTATTCCTTCTATGAAGGCACTGGTCTGCTTTATGATTGAGGGCTTAGTGTCTTTCCATTCTGTTGCGTCATCCATACCTGGTCCTGTCCCACAGGGCAAGGTAACAGAGTCCAGTCCTTGTAGCATACTATACAGCATGTGGGTCTTAACTGCGTGACTGGCCCAGAGTTGTTGTAGATGGGTAACATTGAATTCCTGAACCTCCTGATCATAGATCCACTGGATATTTTCAAACTTACAGTCGTACAAGACTAGAGGAAATTCCACAGCCATACTAGAAAGAGAAGAAGTATGAGAATACATAGCAGCAGTCTATTAGTTCTTTTAAAAACTGATGTTAACTGGGTAAAAAGGGGCTTTGGTGGGAGAAGTCACCACTGTCATTGCTAAGAAAATAACTGCTAAGAAGATAATTTTAACCTGGAACAACTTTATTACTATTTCACATACATACACCCTTTAAGGGCCAATTTTATCCATATTAGGTAACAAGTCATCAGGAGGTGTACTGCCACGACCCTATGATGTTGCACAATTTTAAATGGTAGCATTTATCCAAATGTTTATGGCATTTTTCACAGCTTTGTGGTAAATAAATGGTATCTACCTGACCTCAGCATGTTCTCAGAAGAAAAAAATTTGATTTTCTGCCTTTTCTGTTTCAGCAGCTTGGACTACTGAGTGAAACAAGATGAGGTTCAACAGGAATAGTTTCAATATTCATGTTTTAACTTTCTTTTTGTGTGTGTGTGTGTCTGGTCGTGGGGCCTGAACTCTGGGCCTGGGCGCTGTCCCTCAGCTCTTCAGTTCAAGGCTAGTGCTCTACCACATGAGCCACAGCGCCACTTCCGGTTTTTTTCTTTTTGCTTATGTGGTGCTGAGGAATCAAACCCAGGGCCTCTTGCATGCAAGGCAAGCGCTCTACCACTGAGCCACCTTCCCAGCCCTCATGTTTTAATTTTACCAGAACTTAATTACCTGGTAACATAAATTCAGAAAAAGGAAAAGATGGTGTAATAACGTGCTTTTACAAAAACTAAGAAACCTATACATGTTGTATCACTATCGGGCTTAGAACAGTGAGAAAATTAGAAGCCATCAGTCACATGTTAACATTTTGCAAATTAAAAGTTCCATGTGGCAGAATCAGTGACTTAAGTTATCTAGACAGACTATAGTTTTTTTGTTGTTGTTTTTTATGGTTTAATTTGGTTTGGTTTAGCTTACCTGTATTGAGGTTTCTGGGGATTTTTCTCTATGTTCAGCAATTCATCAATAACTTCTGGCTTCTCCATTCCTTGGCCAATCAGAAAGAGGACAGCCATCATACAGCGGACTTGATGATACAGGAATGCCTGACCAGTCACTTCAAACTGGCATAACTGGAAAGGTTCTTGCCACCTCTCTTCACTCAGGCTCTGGCCCACTATCCGTACCTGAGCAGACAGAATCGTCCTCTGGAAATTAATCACTCCATTGGCCACATCCATTTTACACAAGTTCCTGAAATCATGGGTGCCAACATACTTCTGAGCTGCACAATTCATGGCTATAATATCTAAATTAGCACGAGGGAAGAAATATCGGTATGTCCGTTCTAGACAGCTGAACCTAGCACTGAAGCTAGGTTCTACAGGGGCCCAGGCCAGTACACGGATGTCCCGAGGGAGTACCCGATTGAGAATGTGGGTGTATCGGATCTCTTTTGCAGGATCATTGGTTTCATTGTTTAAATGAACAGGTTCTGTATCCTTGCCCCTTGGAAACTGAGAACGTAGGTCAAGAGAAATAACCTGTGGAATCAGAGAAAAACACTGTTTCAGAGATGGATTATCTCAGCATTCAGTATGGCCGCCTAGATGTACTGGTATAAGATAGCTTGCTTTGAGAAAGTTTCCTGGTCCTTACCTGGCCGAAGGCACTAACTCCTTTGTCTGTGCGACCACACCGGTGATAGTTGGAGGTCTGTCTGTTTTCTACTAATCGCGTCTTGGTTAAGGCCTCAAATAGTTTCTCTTCAATGGTATTGTTTGTGTTTTCCTGACTAGCAAAGCCCTGGTACCCCCAGCCCAGATAGGCTATTCTTAGGGCTACATGTCTTCGGCCATGTGCACTGAAGTCAAATGTACGCTTACTCTTTCCAGATCCTAAAGAATTTTCTTTAATGTGTGAGTCTCCAATGTTGTTGGCCTGTTCTTTCTTAAGTCTTTGTACTTCCTGCTCCAGTTCTTGTACTCTTTTTAGAAGTTTCTCAACCTGGTTTCTGTCTGTGTCATTCTCAGCCATGATAGAACAACCCCGAGAATAATTAATCATAGAGCTCCACCCTACCTGAAAAGAGAACAGAAGAATACATTTCAGTATGCATTTCTTTAGTGTTGTATCCTTATATTCAAGTAGCTTCTAATATTTAACTTGATGCCCAGAGTATTTGCTTATTCTAGAAACAAGCACTAAAGTGTGGGATGATCATCCAGACATTATTCTTTTACATTATATGTAGCCATTTCACAGGAGAGAAGGAAAAATATTTACCTATTGTTGATAAGGGTTTTTTAAAAAATTTACTTGTAAAAATTAGATAAAATACCTAGATTTCATTTCTCTATATTAACCAAGATGATCCTTTTTTCCCCCTGTAACATTTCCTTCTGAATTTTCATATCCATCTAATTTTTCTAATAATAGTTATTTTTATGGGCTACTTAGAACTATTACTGAGTTTCTGTTCTTTTCCAGTGTTCCAGATAATTAAGTGGCTCACATTACATTATCCAATATTTCATTGTTTCAGAGGTGGCACAACAGAAGTTGCCTAATTGAAGAAATATTATCAATGATTATACTTTACATTGGAAGTAGAACCTGGCTGGAGACAAGCTGTACTTAAAGAAGTTTTGATGACAGAAAAAAGGTAACTATGTATTACTGAACTTGTAAAGCCAAATTCGTTTCTTAAATTATCTTTGCAGCTGTACAAAAGTTACCATTCAAAAAATTAGTTTACAAGTACAATGCATTTTGATCTGTCACCTCTTGCATCATTCTCCCTCATCCCCCCCAACCCTCCCCCTCCCCTTTAAAGCCAAATTTAATGTTTTGATAAGAGATTTCTGTACTTCTAACAGTTCCAAGAGTCAGTCTAATGATGTAATTTGGATATTGATATTAAAATTCCTGGTATATTTCAATAATCGAGGAGTAACCATACAACATCCTTAAGAGTGGAACAGTCCTAGATAACCTGTAACTGATGGTTACTTAGTTACAGAAGATCATATCCACAACTGTTGTAAAGCAAGGTCATCTGTGTCTAGGTAGGTCATTTAGTTATTGCCCTTTGAGTTTGTGTGTTTATGTTGAGTAGACTATTTAAATGTACTACTGGAAGAAAACAGAATAACTTTTTCTTGTGGAAGCATATTTCTATGGAAAGCACTCTAAAAATCTGGAATCCCTTTTTTTTTTTTTTTTTGTCGGTCGTGGGGCTTGAACTCTGGGCCTGGGCGCTGTCCCTCAGCTCTTAAGCTCAAGGCGAGCGCTCTACCACTTGAGCTACAGCGCCACTTCTGGTTTTCTGGTGGTTTATTGGAGATAGGAGTCTCAGGGTCTTTCCTGCCGGTCTTTCCTGCCCGGTCTGGCTTTGAACCGCGATCCTCAGATCTCAGCCTCCTTAGTAGCTAGGATTACAGGCGTGAGCCACCAGCGCCCGGCTCTGGAATCCCTTTCAAAATGTGACTTAACCTGAAAAGAAAAACTCCTGTCACCAAAAAAAAAAAAAAATTTCAAAATTAAACACATAGCTCATTGGTAGAGTGCCTGCCTAGCATGCACTATTCAAAGAAGAAAAAAAAAAGGTAACAGAATGAGAAGTAAAATGAGTGGCAAAGGGCTTTAATATGTATTTATGAATATATAATCTGTTTTAACAAAAGGGTAATAAGACAAAGTCCAGCAATCTCTGGGGTAAATGGACAAAGACCAACCATTTTCTAAAGGCTTACTGAAGTTATATAAAAGTATATGAGAACTTTGATGGAATTGGCAGCAAGGATGAGAGTTTGATGTAAAACCACTGTGTGGCCAGGAATCAGGACATCACCCCTGTAATTATAGCTACTTAGGAGGCTGAGATATGAGGAAGTAGTTCAAAGCCAGCCTAGGCAGGAAAAGTCCATGAGATCCATATCTCCAAAATTAACCAACAGAAAGCCAGAAGTGGGACACAGCTCAGAACCTGAGTTCAAACCAAAGAACCAGCACACCCATTTAAGAAAAAAAAAAAAAGGGAATGGAGAAGCAAGTGCTGTTAGTAGACTGTAGGTTCTATTCCTTAGAGGTAAGTACATTGGCAATAGTTGTCAAAACTGAGCACACATCTTTTGACCCATCCTCACAATGTGCTTGCACAAGTACGTTAAAATTTACAAGCTGTTTTGTTTTTAATAAGTGATTGTAAACATAAATGCTGTTAATAAGGGACTGACTTAAAATTTTTGATACAGGTATTGGAATTCAGTGCAACTTTAAAATGATCCTGAGGGGCTAGAAAGGTGGTGTACAGTAGTGGAGTACTTGCCTTACATGTATGAGGCCCCTAGGTTCAATTCCTCAGCGCCACATAAGCAGAAAAAGCCAGAAGTGGCGCTGTGGCTCAAGGGGTAGAGCACTAGCATTGAGCTGAAGAGCTCAGGGACAGCACCCAGGCTCAAGTTCAGGCCCACTACCAACAAAAAAAAAAAAAAAAAAATCCTGTGCCAATATATTTGGAAGCCAGCTGATACAGCTGTAGCTGTGAACTGAAAACATTTTAGAGTTCAGAGTTTTGTGCTGCTTTCCTTTATAGCAGGAATGGGTATGTTTGGCCCATGGCCATATAAAGACTGAGAAATCATTTGTACATGACTAGACAGACATGTATGCTTCTCCAACACTTCTAGTCATCTGTCCAGCTTTCTGCCTCTGCAGAATGATGTTATTAATGCTCAAATGGCCTTCCTGCTTTTAGTATAAAAATGTATATATGAACATGAAAAATTCTAGAGACATCCTAAGTGCAACGTAGTCATGAAGTCCTTGCTTTAAGTTACATGCATATGCTGGATTTTTAATTTTAAAAGAAAAATAGCAGGCAGCAGATATTCAGCTCTAGGCATGAAACTAACACTGGGTATTTGGCTGTTTGATTTGGGTACTAAAAGTTATTTCTATGGCAGGGTAACTAGAATGAATAGATTTAGCAACTAGGAATATATTAAAATTAATGATGCACAGAAAAATATGCATGTATACATCTGTGTGTGGGTATAAGCATAATACTGCCTTTTTTTGATGGTTCTTCAGGTTAAGTCATTCTGAAGCCCAAGTGCCTGAGTCAAAATTTCAGCTCTCTTAGTTACTGGCTGTGTAACTTCAGGCAAGTTATTTAGCTCCCTGATGCATTATTTTACTCAAGATCTCATCCTACAATTGTGACCACACAGAGTAACGCCAGGTACATATAGTACCTTCTAAGCACCTGTTGCATAATGTACACTAAGCATTATGCCCTACAGCACATGTTCTCAAGTTTTTATGTCATAACCTACCTTTCTAGAGCTACTAAATGTGGCAAAGCAATAGGAAGTGGGAATGGGCAAGAAGATAGTGAAGATGAAAGCAGGTAATAGATTGATTGCCTGGAGCTCATCAGTGCCCTACCAACAACTCCCACACTATCCTGTTAGTCTTTATCTGTTAAGATTACTGGGTTTGGGGGCTGGGAAGGTGGCTCAGTGGTAGAGCGCTTGCCTTGCATGCAAGAGGCCCTGGGTTCGATTCCTCAGCACCACATAAGCAAAAAGAAAAAAGCCAGAAGTGGCACTGTGGCTCAAGTCGTAGAGCACTAGCCTTGAGCTGAAGAGCTGAGGGACAGCGTCCAGGCCCTGAGTTCAGGCCCCACGACCGGACCCAAAAAATTACTGGGTTTATAGTACACTGGCCTTTCTTTTTCAGTATGACTCCTTAAAATTGAGATGAGAATGAGCAATTTGTAAAATGGAAATGTGTCAGAAAACTGATAAGTATTCTATCTTACAGGCAGACCTACAGTGTAAAGGAAGCAATGGAGCAACTCATAGGACCTGATGGACAAAAATGGACTGATATGGACCCAGAAGAACGAATGTTAGCAGCTGCTACAGCTTTTACCAATATCTGTGCAGGGCAGGGTGAGGGAGATATTGGGAGAGATGCCCAGTCTATCCAGTATGATCCTTACAGTAAAGCTTCAGTAACTTCAGGAAAGAGACCTGCTTTTCCTGTGCAATCACAGTACCAACACACAGAAAGTGAGGTCACTTCAGACACAGTTTCAGAGGCCTCTCAAAGGCTCCGAAAGCCAGTGATGAAGAGAAAGGTGCTACGTAGAAAACCAGGAGGGGAGGTCCAAGTGACAGATGAGTCGATTGTCAGTGAAACAGAAAGTGATTCTGTGCCAGCCAGCAGCATAGAAAGTGATCTGAATCTCTGGGACTTAAGACAAAGGTTGATGAATCTGCAATTTCAAGAAGACAGGGAATCTGAAGATAGTACTTCACAACAACTTAATCTACCAGATGAAGATGAAGGAATTACCCAGGAACAGTTGCTTTGCTATTTACAAAGAGCGGGAATGAGCCCACCAGTTTATGAACAAGACCTGATGGTTGCCAGCAGACCTAAGTCTTTTATTCTCCCAAAGCTAGACCAGTTAAGTCGAAACCGGAGCAAGATAGACCGGGTAGCCCGATATTTTGAGTACAAAAGGGACTGGGACACAATGCGGTTGCCTGGTGAAGATCAAAGGAAGGAGCTACGCTGGGGTGTCAGAGAACAGATGCTTTCCAGAACGGAACCTCAGTCCAAGCCTCAACACGTATATGTTCCAAACAACTACTTAGTGCCAACTGAGAAGAAAAGATCTGCACTTCGTTGGGGTGTGCGTTGTGATCTTGCAAATGGTGTTATACCTAAGAAGCTTCCCTTCCCTCTTTTTCCTTCTTAAGTCTTTTTTACCTGTCTCTCCGTCTACAGGATTGAGTAGGATAGCCTGGTTCTTAATATCTCTTAAATTGAAAACAACAAAAAACACAGAATTTTACATACTGGTCTTTCTTAGCTGTATTATCACATAGATATGAGACATCACTCAGTTTCTGAATTTCCATTCTTAAATACAGCAATTGCAAGAGAATCATGCCAGAGAAAGAAAAGCTTCCCTGGTCTTTGTATTCTGTCTAGTTCATAAGTACAATTTCTATTGATAACCTTTTTACCATGGGCCAATGAGAACTGCTTTTCAGTGTGTTTTTACAGTTGGTGAGCAATGAGCTCATCTATTAAAGAATTTTAGAAGTTAATGAACTTGAGTCTTATTTCTATTAAACAGGTTCTAAAGGAAGATGATTTCAAAACAAGGGCATGACTATTCACTGCACTCACACCATGTAAATGAGCCAAGGGGAAAGAACAAAACCCTGCTTTTTACAGTTCTAAAGGGCAGCCCCCATAACTAAAGCAAGTCTAGTTAATTATGTAAAATGCTTTTAAATAGATGCCCCAAAGCATTAGAAAGATTCTTACCCACATTTTGTTTGAGGATTATTTCAGTAACATATTTCCCTCTATTCTCAACCATAGTTATCACTTCTCACTTCTGGAATACCGTATCTTTTATAATTCACCACAGATTTTCTTTGGAATTATATCTTATCACTTAAAGGCTGTTCCTACACTGCATCAGAAATTTAAAACACAGGAAGGCACTGGTGGCTTACACCTTTAATCCTAGCTACTCAGGATGCTGAGATCTGGAGGATCATAACTTGATGCTACATCATACAGAAAAGAAACTACATCTCCAAAACAAGGAGCAAAAAGCCAGACTACAGGTATGACTCAAAATAGCAAGCAAGTAAGCTTAGTGAGTATGAGCCTAGCACCTTCAGTTTGTCAAAAAACAAAACCCTTCCAAATATATCTGGCATCACAATGTATAAAAAAAACAAGAAATTAATCTAGACTAGGTAGAGATGAAATCACGAATTCTCTCCTTATAATGGAACTTCCATTTTTGCTACTTCTAATGTAGTGAAGGATATCTAAAATCTGGAGTCTTAAGGATGACAGAATAAACAGTCTGCTTGTTTAGGAAGACACGAATGGACACATGAATGATTCATCCCAACACTTTTATATATAGTATTTGAGACTACATAATGCATTCAACTCAGTTTCACTAAGCATTTAGAAATGTATTCAGTGACACCTTCTGCACAGGGCATGTTTCCAACTAAAAACTGTCCATCAATGATGTCTGTTGAGACAACAGAATTACTTAGGGAACTAATAAGGGAAAAGGTAAACTTAAAGTGAAGCAAATTGGTTGCAATCCATACAGCATGATCTCAGTCATACGTAAAGTACTGGGACAAAACCCAATTCTGAGTACAAAGATAATTTTTTTTAATAGTTTAAGTGATTTTTTTTTACCTGAATCTCAAAAGTCCAAATTATCGAAGTCGAAAAATCCTGAAAAGTGAGTATCCTAACCTAACGTGCTAACAAAATTAAACCTGGGGCGAGTCCAGTCATGGGACAAACTGAAAGAACAGGAGCTCACAGCTCCTAACTCAGACCTCCTTGGCCCCCCCAGTACACCTACCCTTAGCAGGGTGAAGCAGGAGTTCCTAGTCATCTAACACGTGCCAGGACCGCCCCGCGAATTCTTGTGTGTGCTAAGCACACTATACAATAGCCATCACCAAGCGCTCAGAAGTTTTTTGAAGATAAAAACGGGTACCTTAAAAGGAAATCGGCAAAAATTGTATACTTCCTCATAAGTCAATGGACTGGGAGACGTACGCCGTGATCAATACTGAAATTATGGCATGTGAAACATCCCCCCCCCCGCCCCCCCCCCCCCCCCCCCCCCGCATCCCCAAAGAATCGAAAACTCCATGTACTTCTGCTACGTTTCCGGACAAACGAGTCTGACCAGTGCGGCCTGAACTCCACAGGCCCGGGGCGCCTCTAGGCTCCCACGACAGAGCCCACCGGGGCCCGGCGGGGAACTCTCTGCCTGGAGTCCCGGAGGAACCAGGCGCAACAGAAACAACACACAGGACCTACTTCCTGCAACAATCAACGTGTCGGAGGTGGGAAGGGGGACGGGGAGAGAACCGTTCAGCTGTTCATCCACCGTAACGCTCCGCGGCTGCACCCACCAAGACCGCAGACTTCTCACACTCACCTCCCCGAGCGGCCGCGCAGCCTGGCTCCGCACCGGAACCTGTTCCCTGAGCGTCCCCTGCGTGCGCGCAAGGCTTCACGGGAGATGCAGCGGGGCTTGTGGGAAATGTAGTTTCGAGGCCAGTGTCCTCTGGACCCTGTAACCCACTGCACCGGAGGATTCCTATCGCGCCCACCTTTTCTCCACCCCCGCGACAAGCACAGTCTGGAGCCTGTGACAGTACGACAACAAAAATTTAAAGAGAAATTCTAGTTTTGTGTTAACATAGCAGGAAAGAGGTAATTTTCCAATGTCTGCTATGAGACTAAAGTTCTTGGTCCGATTTGATAACTAGCTTAATTAGATGTTCTCATTGAGAGACAAACATACTAGTAAAATGTAAAGGCTAAACGTAAACATTACAGCCTCAAAGCAAACGGCTCAAGAGCCTGACTGCGATGGAACGGAACTTGGGGACTGTTATTTCAGCACCACGGAGAGATCATGACCACTGTTTTTGTTTTCTGAGGGTTTTTTTCCCCCCTCTCTCTCTCTCTCTCCCCCCTCCCCCAATTCCAGAAATACTGACCTCTCAAAATTCCAGTTTAAACAAAAAAAGACAAAAAAAATCAGGTTCCTTCCTCAAATTCGGCATAATTCTAAGGGCTCTTCCCGGATGACGTAAATAAATGCATGTAATCGAGTAAGGTTGTACCTACGAGTTTTCTTGGGGTGCTTCCACACGGGGCCACATCTCAGGAGGAAATCCAAATAAGCCAGTGTATGGCAAATACCCCCAGTATCTAGGCCAGGAACGGAAATTCAGCTCTACCTTCGTTCCGCAACGTTCGCATTCGAGTTCGTTCGTCAGATCAAACCCAATTTAGTGTGCGTGTGTGCTGCTGTCCCTCCACTTTCCCAGGCAATTTGCTAGACTTGCTTGCATCTTAAGGTGCAAGCCGAAGATGTCCGGCGCACAGAAGAGGCCGGGAAGCCTGAAGCAGGGAGTGGGGTGCGGCCTTGGCACCGGGAGAACTGTCTTGGATGGGGGGGGGGGGGATTGGCACAGAGGTCACCAGGTGGCAACGGTTCACGAAGACAGCGCTGCACTCTTCCTCAAACAGCGGCCCCTGATGGAGAGGGGAGGGAGAGGAGAGACGGAGGAGCTGCCGGAACCGAAAGCCCGCGGACCCATCCGCACGCACTCGCGGGGGCTCCTGCACGTCCCCGTGCTGTCCACGCTCTCCGCTCCCTCCGCCCCCTCCGCGCGGAGGAGAAGGATCTCTGCGCCTGCGCGCGCCGCGCCGTGGGCGGCCGCGGAGTTTAAGCCGGCCCCCTGCGCGATCCCATTGGCCGCTGAGCCGGGCCGAGCGCGGCCTCGCGCCTGAGGTGGAAGCACGTGCTGGGGGCGGGAGCGGCGGCGCTGGCATAGCAGCTATGGCGTCGTTACTTTGGGGAGGCGACGCCGGGGCGGCGGAGAACGAGCGGCTGAACAGCCATGTAACCGCCACCGAGCAGGGGAGGGCAGAGGGGACGGGGTTGGGGGGTGGGGGGGAGAAGGGGGCTGGAGGCTGGGGGGGGGTGGCGGGGTGGACGGCTGGGCCTGGGACCCTCAGGGGGGAATGTGCTGGAAGAGGGCGAGCCCGGCGAGTGTTTGGAATGGGGGTGTTAAATGGTGGGGTGGGGAGGTGGGGGGGGGCGCTGGGGAGAGGGCCGCAGAGATGCCCAGAGAGGAGACCTTCGGGGTTTGAAAGGGGAAAATGGAGACACCTGGACCTCCAGGGAGGGAGAGGAGCTGATGGTCCTGACTCTACTGGAGTTTTCTGTTCACCCGATTCGACCAAAGCTGGCCTTCCATCCTGTCTGCCAACGCTGCTTCCCTAGCCGCCACCCCTCTGGGTGCTGAGACACCTCCACGCCCCCAGCACTGCCTTCATTTAAGCTAGAGGCCTTACAAGGAGGAATTTCTTGTGCAGGGACGACAGAAAGTCTCCCCCTCCTTTCTTTCTTTCTTTTTTATTAATATAATTCATACAGGAGACCTATTTGGAAATACTGAACATTGCAAAGGAAAAAGTTCTGGGGTGTTTTTTTTTTTTTTTTCCCCCTGACCCCTTCCAGCCCCTGTTACAGGGGAGCACTGGGCTGCTTGATGGCTTGCTTCCTAATATTGGTTGAAATTTGTGTCTTTTAATAGTTTTCAAATCTCATCCACCCCCGGAAGAACCTTCGGGGTATTAAGAGTACCACAGTCCCAAATATAGGTGAGTGTTGTTAGGATAAAGCAGACTGGCCTCAGTTAATTAAAAAAAAAACAAACCCATTACTTTCATCATGTACCTGCCAGCTGAAATACCTTTGGCTCCCTTAAAGTTACATTCATGACCTTCTCCTATCTTCCCACTTTACTCTTGCACTAGATGACTCTTTCTGTCTATATACACCATAGAATCTGGAAGAAAAAAAATGGAAGCGTGCAGTATGTATTTCTAATCAGCATTTATCTTTACATTTATTGTTTCTCTATCCTTTTAGATACCTCTCTTGATAATGCGGAAGACGATGATGAAGATGACGTAGGTAGGAGACAGATTTACCTGTGTGTATCTCCTAACAGTCTGTTTCAGTTTATCATCACCTTTGGCCATATGAATGAGTAAAAAAGTATTGTTGTTTCAAGTCTTGTTTGTGAGTAGTATCAGAAGTCATGTCCAATCAGAAGAGGAATATTCTTTTTTTTTAGAGGAAGTTGAACTAGAATATGCAAGGAGAGGGCTAAAAATTTCTAGCTGGCGAGGAACGGTTGGGTCTGGTGGCAGTAGATGCTCGCTTGCTTAAGGTTAGTGGCTGGTGGTACAGTAACATAAGAAACTGGATCTTTATGAAAGAAGGAATTTTAAGTACTCTCATTCTTTCTAGAACCTTTTCTAGAAGAAAGATTTGAGTAGGTTCCATAGCTTAATAGGCAACCACTGAGTGGGAGAGGCAATTCATTAGTTGCTACTCAGGAGGGTTGATGTCCCTGTTTTTTATTTTTGCTTTTCTAGTGGATTTAGCAGCGAATTCACTCTTAAACAAGTTAATCCGCCAGTCCTTAATAGAATCCAGTCACCGAGTGGAAGTCTTGCAAAAAGATCCCAGCTCTCCACTCTACTCAGTAAAAACATTTGAAGAGCTGCGGCTGTGAGTAAATGCTAATAATGAAAGCCCTCAGGATCTCTTGTTTTCTACTCTTCATTATGAAAATGGATGTGTATGTTTTGCATGTAATTAAAATAGAGCTAAGAGAGAACTAGGTTACCCTAGTTTCCTAACAAATTGAGAACATAGTATTTTAATCATTTTATTACCATACATAAAGGGATTTTGTTGTGGCATTTTCATTCATGCATATAGTGGATTTTGGTCAAATTCACTCCCTCTATTACTCTTCCCTCCCCCTTTTTATGAACAATTTTAATAGGTTTTGATACTGGATTTTCATACATGTGTATGAGGAACTTCATATTCTCCACCCTTATACTTTTCCTGTCACCCTTCTCTCCCACTGGTTCTCACTCCTTATACAGTCAAAATATTTTAATCTTGCAGTAAAACAAGACATTGAGTCAGGCACTGCCATATTGCCAACTCCCGATATCCCATTCCAGATTCAGGGGCTTCGATCACACACACCCTCCCTCGTCCTTCTGTAGATAACTTAGAAGCTTTTACATTCCTAATGATACTTTATTTCATATAATAGTAAAACGAGTAATTTGCGCAAGGGTGTTTCTATTCTCTGGGAATTTATCAAATGGATTAAAGAAATATATTTTAACAAAAAGAGAAAGTTATAAATATGTGTTATCAACCCCTTTTGTCCATCATGCACAATGGGCCGGTTGGGCCTAATTTAGTACTATTTTGGCAAGCCAGCCATGGGATAAGTCCAGACAGACCTCTTGCCCATGATTCATGGGCCCTGTTGATGAGTCTAAACAGCTGCAGGGCTACTTGTACCAGGACTTTCCCTAGCTCACAACTGCCAACCTTTGTTATATAAGTTCATTTTCACGGTAGAGAACTGGTCTCAAATGCCTTATTTGATAACTATAGTAGAAGTGACTTGATTCCTATTTCTCCTTCTCAGGCTTGGTCTTCATTGCAAGGGTCCTAGTTTGGCAAGGGGGAGGGAAACCCAATATTTGACTCCCAAAAGGAAACCCTGCTTTGCTAACATATGACTTATAAAAAGGGTAAAAATCCAAATTCGTTATGCCCATTTTTTAAATGAGAGGAGTGGCCTTCCTATATTAAAATGTGGCTGCTGGTCTACCAATTAATTTACTAACTTAGGAGCATCCACATGTGTGTGTTACTAAAGATAGAAGTGGTCCTGCCTACTTTTTTCTCAGAGTTAATGAAAGATACATTTAATACTACTGCCTTAAGATAAGGTAATATGACAATGAATGAGTCTGAGAAAAGTAATAAAAGAATCACCTCAATAAAATTTTGTATTTTCAGAAAATTGCTGTTAAAGAGTTCAGTGTTATTCTTAGAAAGGAATTAAACCATAAGTGTCATTTAGTTTTCTGCTGATGTAGAAAATATAACTCCTTTGCCAAACTGACAATCCTCCTTTTATTAGATGATTTTTTTTTTTTTGTCAATTAAGGAGCTTGAATTTGGGCCAGGCACTGTCCCTGAGCTCTTTTGCTAAAGGATAGCACTCTATCACTTTGAGCCACAGAGCCACTTCTGGTTTTCTGATGGTTAATTGGAGTTTCATGGACTTTCTTATCTGGGCTGGCTTAGAACCGAGACCCTCAGATCTCAGCCTCCTGAGTAGCTAGGTTTACATGTGTGAATTACCAGTGCCCAGCTTCAGATGACTTTTTTTGAATTTAGCAATTCAGTTTTAGGCCCTTACTGCTGTCCTTAGTCTAGGCTCACAGTGTGTCTTATTGTTTTCATGATCCAGCTGTAGAGACATAATTGTATGTTTGGAAGTTGTAAGGTATAAATGATTTCTTTCTTCCTTCCTTCCTTCCTTCCTTCCTTCCTTCCTTGCTTGCTTGCTTGCTTGCTTGCTTCCTTCCTTCCTTCCTTCCTTCCTTCCTTCTTTCCTTTTCTTTTTTTTTTTTGCCAGTCCTAGGGTTTGAACTAAGGGCCTGAGTCTCTGTGCCTAAGGCTAGCACTATATCATTTGAGCCACAGCACTACTTCTGGCCTTTTCTGTTTCTGTGGTACTGAGGAATTGAACCCAAGGCTTCATGCATGCTAGGCAAGCATTCTACCACTGAGCCACATTCCCAGACCTAAATGATGTATGTCTAAATATTACTTTTAAAGTTGTAAAGTTGGACTCACGCCTTTCCAGTATGTATTTCTGAAGGCTACTAGAATATGCATATTAATGACCAATCATAGGCTTCAAGTTTGACTTTTTTCTTTTTGACAGAAAGGAAGAGTTACTAAAAGGGATCTATGCAATGGGATTTAATAGGCCATCCAAAATCCAAGAGATGGCTCTCCCTATGATGCTGGCACATCCGTGAGTTTCCAGGGTAGTGGTATTTCAACTTGATTGGGTCTCTTCAATTTATGCTCAAGCTATTGTATTCAGTTTATGCCCAGTGGTCTTCTCTTTTGTATAGACCCCAGAACCTCATAGCACAGAGCCAGTCTGGAACAGGAAAGACAGCCGCCTTTGTCTTGGCCATGCTAAGCAGAGTGAACGCCTTGGAATTATTCCCCCAGGTATGGAAGGGCTGTGGGAAAAGTGAGAATCCTTGTAATGCTAATGGGATTTTTGTAACAGGTGATCTTATTGCAAGTATATGATGACTATGTGATACATTAGTTTGTGGAATAGGTGTTTATCATAAATGCATAGAGTATTGGACACAGACTTTATAGGTTTCAGTCCCAGTCTCTCCACTGACCAGCCAGATGAATGGCTTAGGCAAGTCTGTTTCCTAGTCTGCAAATGTAGCGTGTCTGAAGGCATTCAGCAAGGTAGATCTGTTTGTCCTTGAATCTTAATACCCAGCAGAGTGCCTAAATAGAAACCACTCATTAAGCAATGAAGGAAAGAATGAGTGGGTGAATGCTTTCTTCAAGTATCATCATTGAGATTCAGTGGAAAAAATATGTATTTTAGCACCTATTTTTGTGCTTAGCATAAAGTAAGCATGAAGGATGCTGTCCAGGTGCACAAGGTCACACAGTCTACCTCTCTGAAGCAGACAAGGAAGCTGACACTTAGAGAAGTGCCTTTCCAGAGGTGGCATAGTCAAGCTGGTTGATCAAAGACTGGCATTCAGCATGTTATTTTCTAACCTAGCTTCCACTCATGCAAAACATCTGGTCATCTTCCCTTTTTCCAAAGGGTGCTCACTGATTCATTTCACAAGCTGATTGCCCATACATGCTAAGGCTGTAGGAACACAAGGGCTTTTCCAGAAAACTTCATTTCCAGTACCTAAGATAAACTATAAATGTGCCCGGTCAAAGCCAGGCGTAGGAAATCATGTGCATTTTGGACAAGGTCAGTGAAATTTATATCTGAGCATCTGAGGTTTGATTTTGTCAGCCAAAATGATTCCAGATGTGCTGTGCTTGAGCACATGTTGAAAAATCGGTGTGCAGAGTATTATTTGCACTTTGACACAGGTCCCTAGCTGAGGCACATAAATGGTTTTTTTTTCCCCATCAGAATCTTCATTCATCAACTACTGACATTTTTACAGGAGATAGAACAACAAATGAGAGTTTGGGGAATGCTATTCCAGGAGGGAGAGAGGGAGGGAAAGAGGGATAGAGAAATGGGTTGGATCAAGTAGAAAGTGTTCCGCTCTAGGGCTGGGAAGGTGGCTCAGTGGTAAAGCGCTTGCCTTGCATGCATGAGGCCCTGGGTTCGATTCCTCAACACCACATAAACAAAAAGAAAAAAGCCGGAAGTGGCGCTGTGGCTCAAGTGGTAGAGCGCTAGCCTTGAGCTGAAGAGCTGAGGGACAGCACCCAGGCCCCAGAGTTCAGACCCCAGGACTGGACCAAAAAACAAACAAACAAATGAAAGTGTTCTGCTCTTAAAGCAGGTAAGAGGTGATGGGGATTGTGCTCAAGCTATGATTTACCTTTCCTTCTCTCTCTCATTGAGTCCCCTTTCTATATCCCATCATTTTCCCAAGTAAAAAGGATAACGAATAACTTGCATTTCTAAATAATCCTTTAGGAAGGTGTGTATAAAAGATGACTCTCCATCAGGTACTCTTTTCTCTCAGCATTTTCCTCAGCTGTATGAACAGTTAAATTGTATTCACTTTATAACATTTTATTCAATCAAAATCTCTAATGTCAACTCTGAGTTTTTCCCTGTATAAATTGTAACTGTCATTCAAATTGAAACTGTTTTCTATGACTTTCTTTTCCCCTCTTCTCTGTTTTATAGTGCCTCTGCCTTGCTCCTACTTACGAATTAGCTCTGCAGACTGGCCGTGTAGTTGAGCGGATGGGAAAGTTCTGCGTGGATGTTGAAGTGATGTATGCCATTCGAGGGAACCGAAGTATGTGCCAGGAAGCCTATGCTGGCTGGATTTTAAAATCTGGCCTTCCCACTAATAAGGCTATTAAAAGTTCTGTGCTTTCTCATCTCTAATGGCACTTGGACTGTAGAGTTGTTAGAATTGAGTGAAACAAGGTGGAGTAGGCATTGAGCACCATTCCTGGAACATAAGGATATGTCATTTCTACCCCCTGAAAAAGGATGCCCTTATATATTCTTTCCTTTGAAATTTGCATGATGTGTGCAGAAATGCTTTTTAATTTTTTAATTAAAGGACTACATAATTATGGAAAAACTAAAAGATAGAAGATTAGAAGGCAAAAGTGAAAGTTGTGCTTATTTGCCCAAAAATTAATCCGAAAAGTAACTACAGGATTGAAAACAGGCAAGCCTTTGGCTTTTGCTCATATAACAACATACAAATGCTGGGCACTGGTGGTTTACACCTGCAAACCTCGTTACTCAAGAGGCTGAGATCTGAGGATCACAGTTCAAAGCCAGCCCAGGCAAAGTCCATGAGACTCTTATCTCCAATAAACTAATCAGAAAAAGCTGGAAGTGGCGTTGTGGCTCAAGTGGTAGAGTGCTAGCCTTGAGCAAAAGCTCAAGGGCAGCTCTCAGGCCCAGAGTTCAAGCTCCAGGACTGGAAAAAAGAAAGCACATGTTTGTGTCACTGTTTACAAAAATGACAGAATATTTTTCACACTACTCATTCTTCTTGGCTTCATTTCATAATATTCCATAATTATGTAACTGAATGGTGGGCATTTTGGTTTTCCATTTAGAGAAAATTTTGTACTTTTCACAGGTGTGCTAGTAGGGGGCAGTGGAATTCTTGCATGTGGATTTTTCTTGTTTTAGAATGCATCTCACTATGGTGCCCAGGCAGATCTTAAACTTGTGAAATAAACCTCCTGAGTAGCTGATACTGTAGGCACAATATGTAGGACTGTTACCATAATCGTAGAAACTTGGGAATTTATCCTGAAACTTAAAAACTCAAAAACAACCTGTGAACCTCAGGTATTACACTTGGAAAGTGACTGTGAACTATGCTCTTCTTTCTAAGCTTCACCCTGCGTTGCCCTGACCTGTAACTGGTTGTGAGAAGCTGTTTGCATCTAAAAGAGAGCTTAAAAATCCTTTTCTTCCCAGTTCCTAGAGGCACCGAAGTCACCAAACAGATTGTAATTGGCACTCCTGGGACCGTCCTAGATTGGTGTTTCAAGCGAAAATTGATTGATTTGACTAAGATTCGTGTGTTTGTCCTGGATGAAGCCGATGTAATGATTGACACACAAGGATTCTCAGATCAGAGCATTCGTATTCAAAGGTAACCTTTAGACTCATCTTTATTCCTGGGTTCTCAGAATTTATGGGAAATTTCATTTGTCTGCTTCCCATAACAGTTACTCAGTTTACATCTTACCTTTGTTATTTTTGCAACACAGACTTACAGATGAAATATTTTCACTGGGTTTGCACCACACTTGCCAGTAGTCTTTTATATTCTAAGCAGAGTTCTAAAGTTCTACTGAGGATGTAATGAATAACAGAATAGCACAATAACTGAAATCAGGTCTAGTCCTGAGTTAGCCATTAATTTGTAAGAAAACCCTATTATTTTCCCAGGCCTCTCTGTCAAGATTACCAGCCCCAACATCAGACTCACTGAACCAGAATTTCTGGGAGAGAATTTAGGAATCTATCATTTATTTATAATAAAGTAGTCTCTACTGCTAAATAGTATTGAAATGCTTGTCATGAAAGGCACTAGTCCTTGCCCAGCCCAAGTAAATACCCTCTTTTAACTTCCTAATCCTTAAGTACTAATAATGCTCACGCTAATAGCCATATTTTACAAAGAAGCAGGTGAGGCACTGTGAATGAATACCTCAGTGATAGAGCCTTACCTTGCACGTACAGTGCCCTAGGGTCAATCCTCAGCACCAAGAAAAGGAGGGAGGGAAAGGGGAAGGGATGGAGAGACCAAAAATTTCAACAATTATTGAGATGTTTTAAACTTTTCATACTTAACCTTTAAGTCCAATGTGTTCTGCAGAATAGCCCATATTTCTTTTCCTTCTGTTGATTTGTGTAAAATATCTCCTTGGAATGAGCTAGCCAGGCAGGCCCTAGAATGCCAGCTCTTTATTATCTTTTTCCAGTGAAAATTAGGATGTAGCAGATTGCTGAGAGGTCCCAGAATGTGTATTCAGAATTTTCTTGCTGTCTTCTGACATGTATTTAATTTTCATCCCTTTCCTCCTAGTCATCTGGTCTCTGCAGTGTCAGGTTCTAGGACTCCCCATGCATCTGAGCAAGCTGCTGGCTTCCTTTCTTCCTCTCTCTGCTCTAAAGCTCTCATACTCTTTTTTTAAAAAATAAGTTTTTTATTGTGAAAATGCTGTACAGAGGGGTTACAATCACATGAGCAAGGTAATGAGTACATTTCTTATCAAGCATTGTTGCCTCCTCCTTTGTTTTTCCCCTACCATCCCTTCCCTCCCATCTCCACAACTACACTCCCCCTCCCCCCATACTCTTATTTCGCTCTCTTTATCATTGAGCATTCTTTTCCAGCTTCCAAAAATGTGTTGAAATATCTTGTCCACAAGTTTCTCCTCTTGTGTTTTCCATGTTTTGTAGACTAGTGTCTTTTATCTCTTTATCACATGAACAGATGTTGGGAGTTGAGAGGATAATGCATAATATAGATAGACATTCTACCACAGTTGATCTTACAGATCATTATTTCCAGATGATCTATGCCCCAGGCCTTAAACTAATGTTTGGGAATCTGTGGACCATAGACCTCTTCATTCCCTGATAATGCTGTAGTTTATTCTTTGATCTCAAAAGAAGTAGTTTCTCCCTGGACTCTTTTGTTTATTTCGTTTTGAGACATTGGCACTTTTAGTGAGATCATGTGGTAACTGTCTTTTTATGCCTGGTTATTTCACCTAACATAATGATCTCCAGTACCATTTTTGTTACTTCACAAATTACAGGACTTCATTCTTTTAATGGTTAGTATTTCGTTGTGTATGTGCAGCACATTGTCCTTCCTTTCCTCAGTAGATGAATTGATGAATTCATCCATGGATAGCTACTTAGTTGTTTGTATTTCTTGGCTGTTGTAAATAGAGCTGAAGTGACTGTGGGAGCATAGATACCTCTTAGACAGATTTCTTTTTCTTTGTGTACACACACACACACACACACAGCAGTGGGATTGCTGGATCATGTGACAGTTGGATTTTTAATATTTTGAGGACCCACCCTACTGCTCTACATAGTAACTATACTAAAAGGTCAGTCTCATGGAAAATTAGAGTAGACCAGTGGTTTCCAGAGGCTGGAAAGAATAGCAAGGACGGAGAGCTGGAAAGATATTGGCCAATGGGTAAATTATAGCTAGATGGGACCAAAACGTTCTGTCTTTTTTGGTGACTGTAGGTGGCACTAACCTTCTGTACATTTCAAAAGGAAAAAGCATTCTGAAAGTTTTCAACTGTAAGAAAATGGTGAGATTGATAAGTTGAACCTGATTGAAATACAATATAGTGTACACAGGTCTCACATGGTGTCCCATTAATATAATTTTTTAATGTTTTATGTATCAGTTTAAAGATAAATTGTATATGGCTGGCATTTTTTTTTATTGGTCGTGGGGCTTGAATCCTGGGCTTGGGTGCTGTCCCTACGCTCTTCAGCTCAAGGCGAGCGCTCTACCACTTGAACCACAGCACTACTTCCAGTTTTCTAGTGGTTTATTAGAGACAAGAGTCTCACAGACTTTCCTTCCCGGGCCGGCTTTGAACCGTGATTCTCAGATCTCAGCCTCCTGAGTAGCTAGGATTACAGGTGTGAGCCACCAGCACCTGGCTATGGTTGACATTTTTATTGATGTAGAAACTATGTCGAGAAGAATGCATATGACTCTCCAATCTATGGTGCAGTGAGATCCCCCCTAGTGGCCATGCTGTGTGACCACGCCTAGATAAAGGATTTTATTTACAGCACCTCACAGGCTTTGGAGGGTTGCTGCTGTCACTTGCCCTTTATGTCCCCACACTTAACCTCCTTCCTGACTGCTAGCTCCAAGGGTCCATTTTACATACATACTCTCTCTCTCTCTCTCTCTCTCTCTCTCTCTACATATATATATATATATATATATACGCTATATATATATGTAGTGTGTGTGTGTGTGTATGTGTATGTGCACATGTATATATGTGTGTATACATTCTGGGGTCTTGAACTCGGCCTAGATGCTGTCCTTCAGCTTTTTCACTAAAGGCTGGCACTCTACTATTGAGACATAACTTCACTTCTGGCTTTTTGGTGGTTAATTGCAGATAAAGAATCTCATGGAATATCCTGTCAGGGCTTGCTCTGAACTGCCATCTCGAGATCTCAGCCTCTTGTGTAACTAGAATTGTAGATAGGTGTGAGCCTCTGGCACCTGGCTCATTTCACATATTTTTCAACTTTATGTACCTGTATTCATTTTGGGCTCCATTTACATTTTAGTTACTGCACATAACTGGTTCCCTTCTGATTTGTCTATAGGTTGTCCCATTCCTGAAAGTCAGTTGTGTATGCTATTCTTTCCCTCCCAAGATAAAGAACATCTGCAATCTAATGTCTAGTCTATGTGAGCGTTGCCCCCATTTACTTTCATAGAGCATCTGTACCATTCCCCCAGCTCACCTGAGCAGGGAATTGGCATGAGAAGCCTCAAGACCCTCCAGAACATGGACCTAAACTTTGTTCTGAGCTCCTGTAGCATTTTCTTGGCAGCAAGGAGGGACAGAGGTGAATTTCTCATTGCAGACAGCATCTCATGTCTGCAGGTTAGTAGGGAGCAGCTGACAGCCATCTTCCCTTCCCTCCTGCAGAGCCCTGCCCTCCGAATGCCAGATGCTCCTTTTTTCAGCAACCTTCGAGGACTCTGTGTGGCAGTTCGCTGAGCGAATCATTCCTGACCCCAATGTTATCAAGTTACGCAAAGAGGAGCTGACCCTAAACAACATCCGACAGTACTATGTGCTGTGTGAGAACAGGACAGATAAATACCAAGCTCTGTGCAACATTTATGGCAGCATCACCATTGGCCAGGCCATCATCTTCTGCCAGGTAAACTCGCTGGATGTGTCGTCATTGTGCCTAGATGTCCCCTTCGGGTGCAGGTGTTCAGCACTTGTCAAATGTTCTCTAGCTTCATCTTCAGAGTAGCTCTAATCAGAGATCTGTATTTTACAGAGACTGCTTCTGATATCCCCATTTGGATTGATAGTTACTGTAATTTTTTGGTTGTTGCTGCCAGTTATGGGGATTGAATTCAGGGCCTGAGTGCTGTCCCTGAGCTTTTTTTGCTCAAGGCTAATGCTCTACCACTTTGAGCCACAGCTCTACTTCAGGTTTTCTGGTGATTAATTAGAGATAAGAGTCTCCTGGATTTTCCCGCCTAGACTGGCTTCCAACCACATTCCTGAGATCTCAGGCTCTTGAGTAGCAGCTAGGACTACAGGTGTGAGCCACTAGCACCCAACTATAATTTTTATAGGTACCATTTATCACTTATTTAAGGATGTTCCTTAGTGTAAGTAGCATCACCCTGTTTTTTTTCAGGGCTATTTTTATTTTTGTTTATCTTTGCTGACTGACATTGTCATGCTTACTTGAGTGATTTTCTCCCTGTCATATGACTACTCTAAGCTGCCTGGGGTGGGAGGGGCCTCGCCTCCCACTCACCTCCACCTCCACCAGTGTACTGTAGTAGGTTGGTACCTGCCAGGCCCAAGGACAGCACTGAAAACATAGAGTGAAAGAAAGCTCAGCTCTGCTTCAGGCTAGCCATGTAAACTTGGGTAAGCTACTTAACATTTTTTATGTTATGGAAATGTTTTGTCTTTTTTAATTTTTTTCAGGGTAGCTACTTAGTTAAAGTGTTATGATAGCCATGCCCATAATGCCTGCGAAGATTTTAGCCAGATGCTTGGCTCATGGCGAGCATTCTTGGAAAGCCTGTTGACTGGTTAAGAGGGTATGCTGAGAAACACAGGCAAGAAGTGTCCCCAGCTCCATTCTAGTTTCTTTGCACACCCCTCCCCCATTCTGGTTTCTCTGCAGCCCATCCCCACTCCCTCATCTGGGTGCCTTGACTTTTGTCTTTCACGTAGACCCGTCGAAATGCCAAGTGGTTGACTGTGGAGATGATGCAGGATGGCCACCAGGTGTCCTTGTTAAGCGGGGAGTTGACAGTGGAGCAGCGAGCTTCCATCATTCAGAGGTTTCGGGATGGGAAAGAGAAGGTTCTTATAACGACCAATGTTTGTGCTCGAGGTGTGTGTGTTTAAAGTCAAGTGTTGAGGTATAATTTACATAGGATGCCATTCACTCTTGAAGTTGAGTGAGGTTCTGACAAGTACAGACCAGTCATGGAACTATCACTTGATCAAAATACAAAACATTGTATGATTTCCTCAAGCCCCTGTGCAGTTAGTCTCTTTTCTGTCACATGGCCCCTGGCACATCCCCATTTGGATTTCTGTCTCTATTCTCTGTTTCAGAGAATGCCACACAAATTAAATCATACATTGTGTAGCCTTTGTGTCTGGCCTTTCCATCTAACATAATGCTTTTGAGCTTTGCCAGCATTGTCAGTATATCAATAGTCCATTCCTTTTTATTGCTTATAGTGTTTCATTGATAGTTCCTTCATTCACCAGTTGGATATTGGAATTATTTCCAGTTGGGCTCTTTTGAATATAGTTGCAATAAAAATTTATGTGTAGGTCTTTGTGTAGACATGTTTTCGTTTCTTTGGGGTAAATACCTAGGAGTGGAATTGTGGATCATATGACAAGTGTGATTAGCCTTATACAAAGCTAGTCAACTTGTATACTATGGCTGGATCATTTTGCCTCCCCCGGCAGTATAGGGAGTTTATTTAGTTGCTAGGACCTTTGCTTGTAACTGATATGGCATTGTTTATGACTTTAACAATCCACTAGATATATAGTAGTATCTCCTTGTTCTTCTCATTTTCATTCTCTAATAATAATGTGGCATGTCTCTGAGGTATTTCCCATTTTAAGGCTATTGACTATTGGTGGGAGGAAGGTCATTGTTTTATTAATAATAGCTAGGCCTCCTGCTTTCTTCCTCCATTCCATATCCTTTCTTGGACCCCACATTCAAGTCGTGTTCCCCGGTTCATTCTGAGTTCACCCAATAAAATTCAGTCTGCTGTGCTGGGAGTAGATGCTGGGCTCCGCACTGGTGGAAATGTTCTGTTGCGTTCTATTCTGTGCTGTCCTGTTGGTAGCCACTACCATGTATGGCTCTTGAGCATATGAAATGTGGCTAATGTGACTAATGAATTAGATTAGTAAATTTAAATAGCCACATGGAGCTAATGGTTACCCTATTGAACAGCACAATACCAGGACCTAGAAGAAAGACAATTCAGAGATCTCTAGGATAGACTTAGGACAGGACAAGGATTATGACCCACACAGCTTGTTTGTTGGTGGATGGAAGGTTTGGAGAATACAGAAGTCTTCCTGGGCAACAGTAGAGGTGAGGGCTTTTAAAGGCAGGCTCAGGTGTGTGGGACTGAGCACAGGTGCACCAGCCCCTGCTTCAGTGATTATCACAGGAGGGATTAGAGGAATGGTGGGAGAGGTGGGAGGGAAGCCCATGTGGATTGTTAGAGCAGTTGAGGCAAAGAATAAAAAAGACTTGATGACGGAATGGAGCAGAGAAGTCATTCCATCAAGGGTAAAAAGCCCCAAGTACAGACCTCTGTAGGCTTGGTAAGGGCACCTCTGCCTCCCCCTCCAGCCTCCAGCATGCACACATGCTTTGTACATGTAATTTGCCTTTATTGGCACTCTGTCCAGCACCGTAGATACCACAGCATGCACCAACTGCCTGGCCCAAAGTACCTATTACAGTGTCATCAAGCCAGGTCTGATTTCCAAATTGTCTCCATTAATGACAGTTCCCTTGGCAAATGTGGTTCTTGAGAGGCTGTGTCCTGTGAGGATGATTGCAAGACTACAGTGTTTTCCTCTCCTAGGGATTGATGTGAAGCAGGTCACAATTGTTGTGAACTTTGATCTCCCCATAAACCAAGCAGAAGAGCCAGACTATGAGACCTACCTCCACCGCATAGGGCGGACAGGACGCTTTGGGAAAAAAGGCCTTGCCTTCAACATGATTGAAGTGGAAAAGCTGCCCCTGCTCATGAAAATCCAGGACCACTTCAGTAAGTAGCACTGCTTCCCCAGCTGGGGCTGCAAACCTTCTGTTTACTAATGGAGCCATGTGTACCAGGAGGATCAGATGGAGAGGCCCAGGAGAGTATGGAGCAGAAGCCGTGATACAGGGCCTCCAAGTCACATGTCCAGAGTCTTACTGTAGAACAGTTGATTAAACAAACAACTCTTATGTGATAGTTTAAAAAAAAAAAACTGAGCCAGGCACTGGTGGCTCACACCTGTAATCCTAGCTACTCAGGAGGCTGAGATCTGAGGGTCACAGTTCAAAGCCAGCTGGGGCAAGAAAGTCCATGGGACTCTTACTTTCAATTAACCACGAGAAAACTGGAAGTGGCACTGTGGCTCAAAGTAGTAGAGTTCTAGCCTTGAGAACAAGAGCTCCGGGGCAGTGCTCAGGCCCCAAGTTCAAGCCCTATGACAAACAAATAAATGAATACTAAAGTGGAAGTCATAGGAGCTCATTCTGGAGTCTGGAAATTTTCACATCTTATAAAGATGTACCATAATCAAAGTAACAGATTCCTCTAGTGTTATTTTTTTCTTAACTTCCTTTTTCAGTTTCAGTTCCTCTCTTCAGTTCCTCACCTGGTTGGCCACTCCTCAGATTACCTCAGACCCTAGAGAGCTTGGCAAGAACATTGAGTGCTCCCTTCTAGGGGAGTGGTGCTTAATCTTTGTTGGAAGCAGTGGGCATGCTCTCAGGAAGCGCACCTAAGCACATAGATGATGTTTAGAATATGATTTTAGAAGGTTTTCAGGATGCGTGCTGTCCATTCACTGGCATGCCATGCCACCACCCTTGCCACTATGGCCTGGCTATGTGCTAGGCTAACTGGAGAGTGTGAGAGGAGAAGGAACCAGGAAGGCTGCTGGTGTCACGGTGAGCTGCTGAGGACCCGGTCTTGTTGGGAAGTGAGAATGCTTCATGCTTCCCAGGCTTGTCTGTCACGGGGGCCTTTTTCTGCCCCAAGGAAGCTGGATGTATGTGCTCTGTGGTCTAGTAGCTTTGCTGCTACTTTAGTTAGTGTTGGGGGTTTCTTCAGTCACCATCTGTCTTCGAGTTCCTATCTCAGGCAAGATTCCGCAGGAATATGTATTTTCAGAGATGTTCAGAGTTGGCTGGAATGAAGGTCCATTTAAGTGCGGGGGTAAGACTGATTTCTTTCTCTTATTCTTTTAGATAGCAGTATTAAGCAGCTGGACCCTGAAGACATGGATGAGATTGAAAAGATTGAATATTGAAGAAAGAACTTTATTGTTTGTGAGATATCCTAGTTTGTGTGAGAATGTTGCGGCAGGTTTTGAAGGTAATTTTTTATGTTTAGACTCTTGCAACATGAAACTGTCACAGATGGCAAAATAAACGTCGTGGTACCCTTCAACCTGAGGTCTTTTTGAAACCAAAATGACATGAAGCACACGATCTCTTTAAATAAGAAAGCAACATTCTTTCCTCCTCCTCCTCCTCCTTTGTTTTTAAATGATGTTTTGAGACAGTGTTTAGCTATCTATCCAAGACTGGCCTGAACCTTTAAAACCCACTATGTGTCGCTCATGTTGGACATAAGATGTATTAAAGTGTTAGGATCCCAGGCATATCCCCCACCACAGCAGGCTAAGGATCTTTCTGATGTTTTTACGGATAATCTGAGTGTGGTCTGTAGGGATGTGGAATTTGGTTTGTAAAAGTGGAGCAGCCTTGTGGCTGTTGTAAGCCAGTGCCACAAGGTGGCAGCATAACTCTACTGGGTTTGGAATTGGAGCTTGCCGAACAAACTGAAAAGCTACGCGTTTTTATTAAGCCTCACCTAGAGGCTGTCTTTTCCAGAGATTAATGTTCCTGTCCCTCCCCTGCACCCACATGTACCCACGTTCTGAGTTGAAAGTAGGAAGAAAACCTTTAAAAAGCACATTTGGAAGAGAGAGCTCTTGACCTTTTTAAATATTTCAAGTCACTTCTTTCTTGCTTTGCTTCTTAACTGTCTTTAGGTTAGAGATTAATTCTGTCATCAGTTCTTTCACAATCTCTGGAAACCTGGCTTTATTCTAGGCATGTCTTTAAAATAGGAAGAAAGTTAAAATCAAATAAAGCCCTCATTCTATTAAAGAAGCAACATTTCAGGGAGCCACGGGATTTTGCTTTCAGGACATATTGGTGGATCTAAAACCCTGGACCTTTTCCTTCAAACTCACTGAGAAACTTTTAAAATTTCTTGTATTTGCTATTCAAAAATGCAGCTATGAGGGGATGGAGGCACACCTCAAGTGGTAGATTGCCCGCCTAGCAAGTGGGAGGCCCTAAGTTCAGCCCACCCTCCTCCTGTATCACAAAAAAAAAAAAAAAAAAAAAAGAGTAAGGCCATATGCTTGAGAAAATGGGGTGAATGACTAGTCTCCCACTAAGCTAGAGCAACTGGCAGCCAGAGGCCAGGTTCCAGCTCTGTCTTTTCCAGCCCAAGTCTTTGTCACTCTGTGTGGATGTGGTTTCTGCCATATCTGTGTAGATGTTCAACTCATATGTCATGCTGCCCATATTAAAACCCAGGGTCGAGCTCAGAGATACATAAAAATCCCCAGGCTCCCCAGATACGTACTGTATGTGCATTCTTATACTCAAAACCAGGAGATGGGAGATGACTAGCAAATAACATCTCAGAATTTAGAGTCTAATGGTAAAAACTAGAATTGTTCAGGTCACTAGTGTCGCACTGAAGAGAGCCCCTAGCACATGCTGAGCCAGCTTCAAGGAGGATGCATAGGGGCTCGCACAGAAGCACAGGATATATCCAATAATGCCTTCCCAGTGTGTACTTCGTGCCACCTAGAAATTTCCTCCTCTAGTCGGCAGAGATAGGGTCCCAGACCCAACTCATCACCAGCATGACCTGGAAAGTCTGGTGGAAAACTATAGATTTCCTCTCCAGGGCAGGCAGAGCCAGACTCTGAGGGTAGAATTCAGAAACACATAGAGGCACACTCACAGCATACGCACAGGAATGGGTCATCCAGGCCACTGTCTAGGGAGGAGACAAAGGTGCTGAGAGAAAATTGATTATGTCCTCTCCAGTTCCTTGTCTGCCTTCCTCTCGGGACTGAAGCTGGTGGCCAGTCTTTTCCACTGAAGACCCATCCTGACGTAGGGCCCAGCACATGGAAGGTGTTCCATGGATATTTATTTTCATGGAGTAAATATTTTTCTTTGCCATTTCCTCCTTCACTAACATTTTCCCTTGACATTTCCCATTCTAGATTTGAATCCTAATAAGATGACACAGGATGAGGAAAGGTGGGAAGTGCATATGAAGATACTTTTCTGTAACTAAGAATTTGCTTTAATCTTTCTACTCTACTCAGCCTTAGTGTATCTGTCCTAAGTTCGCACCTCCCTTTCTCGTTCAAGTTTCTGGTAAGGCCTCTGTCAGCTACCCTGGAATGCCTCCACTCAGCTCCATTTGGCAACTGTTCCCACAGGGTCAGCAAACACTCAGGCATTCTCCTGCCTTTCCCTTTGCTCACTTCCCTTTGTCTTTCCTCCTAAGGGGCAGGAAAGCTGTGGTGTTTTCTGCATGGGTCACAGCTGTATTAACACCAACTGTCTGCTTTGGCAAGTCAAAGGCTGTTTTGCAGGGTACAGCTCCTTGCTCAGAAATGTAAGCACAGCCTGGCTGAGGATAGGGGCAAGGAATAACTAGACTATTTCAGTGCATCTGTGAACTGGCTTAATCAGCTGTGTATTACTTGGCACCAAAAACTAAGCCAAATCCATTAAGTTTATCTTGGCCAGGTCAGTACTGTTAGCATATTGAACTTCACAACTACGTGGAACAAAGCCATGATTTGTAGTGGGAGTGTGAGTGGCCACCTAGCCTGAGGCCTGCTGTTGTGATGAGCTGTGGGCAGCTGTTAATAATAAGAAAGTCAAGTGAGTCGGTCATAGTCTGGTAGGCTGTCTGACAGCTCCTTCTCAAGGAGATGTTATTGTACTTGGAGACAGTGTTGGTCTTCCTCACTGACACGCCATCACTGCCAGTCTCTGCACATACGGTCAACAGTGGAAAACTGTCTACTGGAGGATTGCTGTGGTAGGGATAGGGTACTTTTCCAGAGAGGCCGGTTATACCAAGTCTTGGTTTGGCTTATGGTCCTCTTGATTCAGGTAGGGGCCTAGATTAGAAAAAGAAACCCACACAAAGGGACAGCCCAGTTGTTGAGATGGAAATTGCACCCCCACTTAGGTGTGCTCTGAGCCAGGAGCCTTGCTGTCCCAGTGCAGCCAGCCATGCCTGCTTTTGGAAGCCATCAGTGAGGAGTAACAAAGGGCCAGATTCTCTATGTTCTAACCTCCTCACTCCAACCCCACAGCTACTCTCAGGGAGCAATCAGGCATATGAAAGACCCCCTCATTCCAGTCATTAGCCCACAAACAGACTGGACCACGAGGCACAGTCTTGCTCTAGGCTTTAGGGAACACCAGCTGGCTGCTCTAGAAATCCAACAGCACTCACTGAAGGCTTTCTCTACTTTCTAAGAGAAGGACATGCCCTTCATGTTCCTCAGGAGGGCAGCTGAGCTGCGATCTTGCCTAGGACCTGCTCCCCTGCTTGCTCCTCACTTTGTTGCCTGGTGTCAGCTGTAAGATGTGGGTTAGACTGTTATCTCCACACAGTTCTCTTCTGCGTTCAAAATGAGTGTGAGGCTGAAGCACTATTGTACATTTTTATGTGCATTCCTTCCAAGTTCAACTTGCATTCTCTTCTAATGAAGTACAGCAAATGTACCTAAAATGGGCTAAGTTCTTTACTAGAGAAATAAGTGTCCAGACAACCCATAAAAGAGCCAAGCAGTTCATATCTGAAACTGCCTAGCCCTCCATCACCACCAGTTTATCAGCCTTCCTATTCTGCCAAGATTAGAAATAAGGAGAAGCACTAGTAGAATATGAAATATGAGCTGGATGTGGTGGCTCACATCTGTAATCCTAGCTACTCAGGAGGTGGAGGTCTAGGCCAGCCTGAACCAACCAAAAGTTCCTAAGACTCCATCTCAACCAATAAAACGCTGGACATGGTGGTACCTGTTTGTCATCCCAGCTATTCAGGAAGTACAATTAGGAGAATTTTGGTCTATGTTGTCCTTGGTATATACATGAGACTCTAATGAAAAATACGTAGAGCAAAAAGAGCTGGGGTGTGGCAAGTCCAAGCAAGGGCCAAGCAAGTCCAAGGCCCTGAGTTCAAACACTAGTACTCTCAAATTAATTAATTAAATCTCTGCAGAGAAGCTCTTTCTGTATTCAGGAGAACTGAAATTTTGTTTTTTTAACCAAGACTGCAGATTTTAGAGCTAGTTTGCCGCGCTTTCTTTGGGGGGAATCCATCTCCTATATCTTAATCAGTTAAAAAAAATCAGTAAAATCCATTTCTTCATTCAAATTTTGAGAATCTATTTTTCCGCCATGAATAGAGATAGTCTCCTATTTGGAACTTAATGTCATTGGTCTACTAGAAAGAATAATATAGTCCCATTCACTACAGTCCTTTGGTTTGTGATTTGTGGCTTTAAATCCTGGTTGGAAGAAAGCTGTTGACTAGGAAGCCTTGCTTTGTGTGAAGGTCAGAGGTGTCATGTGTAAAGGCTTCCAGCATGAATTAGAACAGACTGAGCAGGCTACTTCATGAAGGTGCTGAGCTCCCTGTTCATGGCAGTATTCAACCAGAAGGCAAAGCTAACTTGAAATGGGGGTTATACTTCTAGTTCTTAGCAAGATGTTGGCATACCTGATCTCTGAGGGCTCTGCCCACTCTGAGCCACCATGTTCCTATGACCCTACACATGTGGAAGAATGTGAGTCCTGTGCACAGAGGAAGATCCTTTCTCAGATGGAAGGAAAATCGGGTGATTAGCTTCTAATTGCACCCTGTCTTAACTTTCAGATTCACTGGCTTCTTCCCCATGTGACCATCTCTTTATACTACGCTCCGTCAGCTTACACAGAATGTGGATTGTTTTTTATTTAATATTTCTATTACAAGAGCAATAAAACAGCTAACAAATGGAGCACAAGTTAGAGATCTCATTACTTCATCATAACAATTATTGTCTTGATGTAGTCCATTCCATTTTAATATGAAGATAGCTTGTCATAGTGCATGTTTGTTATTATATCCTTTTACTTGAAATATCCAAGTGTTTTTCTGTTACATATAGTCTTAGCAATAAGTAATAATAATAATAATAATAGACTAGATTATCTTACCCTGGTGAGTATGCATATAACTATCTTTGTTCAACATTTATGTGATAACCAGTTTTCCAGCATTATAAGGAATACTACAACAACCAACTTTTTGAATTATTTCTTAGGAATAGAGAGTTGAGTACCAGGCCAAAACCAGGAGCATTCTTATAGCTTTCAGTAGACTGAGGCTGTAGCTCTGCCAGTAATGTCCCTCATCTTACCAGCAAGGGATATTTTCAGTTTCAGATTGTGTGCTAACTTGTTTGGGTTTACGTTTCTTTTCATACAAATAAGACTGAGTATTTCTTTGTGTGTGAGTCACTGTTTGAAAAACATCTGTAGTAGTACCCTTTGCCCATTTATCTCATGAGATAAATGTTTTCCTTGTCAAGTTGTGTGAAATAATCTGTTTGAATTGTTTTTTTCTAAATACAATAAAGATATTAACCATTTGCTTAAAATATTTCCAACTGTGTCTGCCTTTTTGTATTTATGTTATAGTTTCATACAAATTTAATTTTTTAATCAAGTGTCAATTTTGTGATTATTTTGGTCTACTGGATCTAAAATGTTAGCCCTACTCTACAAACCATACTCAATTTTAATATATGTTGTTACAGTAAGATAACATTTGATTTTAATCCATCAGAAATTCTCTTGAGAGGGAATAGCATTTTTCCTCAAAATGTTAATAACTCTGTAGCTCAATGGTAGAGTGCTTGTTTCACATGTATGAGGCCTTGGGTTCAGTCCCCAGCAGGGGAGGAAAAAAATATCACTGAGAATTCCAATACCTCTTATTGAGAGATCGCTGTTGCTCCCCTTCTTCTGGCGTCTCCTTTATCATATTGAATTTTTATCCCCTAAGCACATATAATAAATAGGTGCCAGGGATCTACTGAGTTTATTTTCTCTTGTGGGAGTACCAGTTTTAACTATTATTGTTATATAATGTATTTAAAAAATTTTAAGGTAGTTGTACAAAGGGTTTCCATTCAATATATCAGTTTAAGAGTACCGTGTATCTTAGTATTTTTTTTAAAACACTCATTCTTAAGATTAATTTTAGAACCATTTTTTTAATCAATTTCCAAAAAAATACTCTCGAGTTTTATTTTCATCCATTTAGCACTGACTATTACTTTTGGGGAGGTGTTGACTTATTTTTTCATTTTGTTTTAATGAGTTCTCATCAAGGCCCAGACTGGCCTTGAACCCATCATCCTCCAGCTCAGCCATCAAAGTTGCAGGGATCATAGATGTGCACCACCACACTTACCTTGACTTCTTTACACTTTCGATCAGTACTAGGTCTTTGCTATCTCAAGGAAGTGGTCAGGAGGCATGCTAGGAGCAAAGACTTGAAGATACTTGGGCCCAAAAGCTATGATTGCTTTGGGGAGGTCGTGCTTGAGGGGAGGTGGTCTCAGCAGGATGTGTCACCATTTCATTACTGCATAGCCTGTGTGCCCACTTGTCTGCAGGGAGCAGGTTTTGTGGTTAATATGTGCATGTGATGGGACAGTGGTGGCTGTGGAGAAGAGCAAGAGGCCAGGATTCAAGACCTGCTTGCACCATGAACCTGCCCTGGCCATTGCAAATGCTTTTCACCTGAAATGGACTCAATTCTCCTTTTATCTCTGACATCACTACTTCTGCCTCTGATTAGCCTAGATAGCTTAGAGACAACACACCACACCCAACAAATCTCTCTGTCTGTGGGACCAACACCCAACCCTACTGATGTTCCACAACCTTGGGAAGAGACAAGTCAGGGACTAAGATTACAATCTCAGTGTGTACAAGAGCTTTGAGTCAGTATGCCTCAGACTTCACTGTAAATCTGCAGGTTTCTAGTTCAGAAGATTGGGTGGGCCTGGTGACTTTAGACCATGCTTTGAGTAACAAGGTTTTAGAGCACTGATCTAGGGAAGAATTCTTGACTGAAAAAAGGGAGGAAGAGTTAAAATAGTTGTCATAATTATGTTTAAAACATATATGTAATTGTATATTGATAAGAAACTTGGAGGGGCTGGGAAGGTGGCTCAATGGTAGAGCGCTTGCCTTGCATGCATGAGGCCCTGGGTTCAATTCCTCAGCACCACATAAGCAGAGAAAAAAAAGCCAGAAGTGGCCCTGTGGCTCAAGTGGTAAGTGCTAGCCCTGAGCTGAAGAGCTGAGGGACAGCGCCCAGGCCCAGAGCTCAGGCCCCACAACCGGACCCAAAAAAAAAAAAACTTGGAAAAACAAAACTAGCTGTGGGGGATAGTTCAAGTAATAAAGCACCTGCTTAGCAAACAGGAACCTCTGAATTCAAACCACAGTAGGGTAGGGGAGTGGCGGGGGGGTGGGGGGGGGTGGGAATTGGCATATTATAGGGGTAGTTGGATTGTGAGTGACCTTCTACCACACATTTGTTGCTATAAACCACAAAGAATAGGAACTGCAGAAATCTCTTAGCAAAGGGGCAGAAAAGAAGTCCTTTTTCCTCCAGCCTCAGGGGAGACTCTATGGGACTTACCATTCTTTCATTGTTCCTCCTCTGAGCTGCATTGCATTCCTGGAAATGGGGCGGGGGGGGGGGGGGGGGGTCTCTGGCTGGTGAGTTTCTAGATTCAAGCCACCTGCTTGGCTTTTGCTCTAGCTTAGAAGCACAGCCACGACAGCCCAGAGGGTGACATGTGACATGTGACAAGCTGTCCCATCATTGATTCAAATGCAGCCTTCAGAGACAGAAGAAAAGTCCTTGTTCCTCAGCCAGGAGAACCCACAAACCAGATGATCAGTGATATCCCACACACCCTCTGAGAGCAGTAAGAAAAACTTCTGCTGAGAGTCTGGGGGTATTGCTAAGTGGTGACGAGGCATATGGCCTTGGGTTTGATCCCCAGCCCCACAAGAAAATAAAAAAGAACTCTTGATTTAGAAGTTTTCCTTTCTTACTGGAAGAATTTTTATGAGGCTAAAGCGTTGACAAATTTGTCATTCCCAGAATCTGCTCACACCCTCCCCGGCCCCCAGTCCCTTGGATTTTTTTTTTTTTAAGTACATTTTCTCTCCTCATTTCTGGAGGGGAGGGAAAAACATTTTGAATAGGCACACAAAGTTTTTTATCCAAGGTGTTTGGCAAGCACTCTGGGTTCTGGGGGAGATTTATGTCTTGGCTCTCTGGCACTGCCTCATGTTAGCTCACTTAAAACAACTGAATAAATGAGTTCACTTTATCCTGTCAAAGGGGAGCCTAGGGCAGCACGGTGCCCAGCTGGGGTCCATGGGGACGTGAGGCAATGTACATGTCTCAGTCACTTACGCTGAGCTCAGCCGTTTTTATGTCTGTCTGAGATCATTAAAGTGAGGGCAGGGGGCAGAGGGAGACCTGTGGAATGAATGGCGTGATGGAAATGCCATGCCGAAGGGCTGAGGATGTAGCCAAGGGCATGGAAGTAGGGGCTCTCTCTCTTCGAATGCTGCTGCTTTCTCCTGCCTGGTTGCCCCCTTGTTTCTGGGACAGAACAAAGCCATTATTGCTCTGAGTCTGAGCTTTGGAGGCACCTTCCAGCAAAGTCTCTCCATGATCCCTAAGGTATCTGGCTTTGCCCTTCTTGAAAAACCGTATCTTTTCTTTCCTACTGCCCAGCTATTTTAGGACTAGGCCCTCAAACAGGGTCCATTGCTCTAAAAGAAAGGTACAAGGGTCCCCTACCTTTCAGCTAGTGGATTTTTCTGGGCCAGTCTCAAGGTCTATCCTTTATAAGTATAGGCTCAGGATTCACCAAGAAGTTTTGTTAGAAAAGCCCCAAAAGAACAGAGGGAAGTAGTCATGTTGGAGCTCAGGATCTATATCTGCCCATCCCAGGAGATAGATGTATGATGCGCCTCTCTCCCCAATGCTGGACCTGGTTCCCCTTCCAGAGTTTCCGGGCTTCAGCTGGAGGCAGTGGACGGATGATCACTGTCTGAAGGATAGAGAACAGTTTCTATAAGTTCCTAGCTTTTAAAAGTAATAGTGGCCGTAATCCTAGCTACTCAAGAGGCTGAAATCTAAGGATTGTGGTTCGAAGCCAGCCAGGCCAGGAAAGTCCATGAAACTCTTATCTCCAGTTAACTTCCAGAAAACTGGAACTGGAGCTGTGGCACAAGTGGTAGAGCACTAGCTTTGAGCAGAAAAGCTTAGGGACAGTGTCCAGGCTCTGAGTTCAAGACCCACGACCAACACATACACACACACACACACACACACACACACACACACACACAAAGTGACGATGAATGTGTCTAGACTCTGTGCAGTTCACACACACGGATTGTGCCGGCTTCCTGAAGCACAAGTTACCTGATCCTCACCTGTCCTGGAAAGGCTAAGGGAGCTGATCATCATCCTAATCACTTGAAGGCCGTGATTTGCCTTCAAGCAGAGGTCAGACTGCAGCCACTGTCTACCTTTCCTGTATCAAAACGACTCAGATCTCAATCTCTCTATCCAACACCTTCCATCTTGGTAGTCTTTATACCTATATAACTATATCTATGGAAATATATCAGAAATCAATTTAGTTTTTTTTTTTTGTCAGTCAGGGGGCTAGAACTCTGGGCCTGAGCACTATCCCTCAGCTCTTCAGCTCAAGGGTAGTGCTCTACCACTTGAGCCACAGTGCCACATCTGGTTTTCTAGTGGTTTATTGGAGATAAGGATTTCATGGCTTTTCCTGCTTGGGCTGGCTTTGAACTGTGATCCTCAGATCTCAGCCCCCTGAGTAGCTTGGATTACAGGTGTGAGCCACTGATGCCTAGCTCAACTTAATTTTACTTTAACTAGTTTGATGTGCTAGTGAGAGCTTAGGCATTAAAACAATAGATTAAAAACTTTATTTGTGAGAGCTGGACACTGATGGCTCATGCCTTCATCCTGGCTATTCAGGAGACTGAGAACTAAGAAATGAGTTAGAGGCCGGGCTGGACAAGACATTTCAGGAGATTCCAATTAACCACCAAAAGGCCAGAAGTGGAGCTATGGTTCAAGTGGTTAGAATGCTAGTTTTGAGTGAAAAAGCTCACTGGTACCACGCAAGCTCCGGGACCGGCATAAAATTAAAACAAAAACAATTTGTGAATGACTTAGCATGCTGTCCACAGGCTCAAGCAATGGTCTTCAGACCAGTAGCATCAGTATCAGAAATCCAGAACTCAGGCTGGGAAGGCGGCTCAGTGGTAGAGCGCTTGCCTTGCATGCATGAGGCCCTGGGTTCAATTCCTCAGCACCACATAAGCAAAAAGGAAAAAGCTGGAAGCGGCACTGTGGCTCAAGTGGTAGAGCGCTAGCCTTGAGCTGAAGAGCTGAGGGACAGTGCCCAGGCCCAGAATTCAGGCCCCACGACCGGACCCCCCCCCCAAAAAAT